CTTGTCAACTCCGGCCTCTGGGCGCTCAGACAAGGCGTCTTCACCAGCATCGTTGCCGTCTCCGTCCCTGCACGGTCGCCTACATTTGACACTCGGTGTCCCATCAGAATGCCGTCGCGATGGCAGCCGGGCGACGCAGACCGCCCGTCGGAACAGGAGGCCGTGTCGTTGCAGCTGCGCTTGGTGCAGCACATTGTGCTGCGGCCGGAGGAGGAGTTCAGCCTCGAGGTGCTCCAGCAGCACATGAAGGCTCCCGCCTCGGCCGGGGCCCGAGCGAAGCCGATCCAGACCCGAGTAACGGAGACGCCGGGCGGCCTGGAGCTGTCCAAAGGCTCCTGGTGGCCGCACCGCCAGGTCAGCCTCTTGCTTTTCTCCGGCATCACGCAGTACACCACCTTCCGGTCCCAGCTGCGAATGCTCCTCCTCGGCATCACAGCCACCAACGCGTCGGGCGCCTCGGTGGACCGGGCCTTTGTCCACCTGTACACCAAGTCGCCGGCCGACACACGCCGCCTAATCGAGCTGATCGAGTCGCGACTGTCGCCCAACGCCGTGGAGGGCACGCGGTATCCGGACCCGCCGGCCGGACTTGCCGTCTCGACGATGAGTCATCCAGCGCATCGCGACGACTCGTTCGACGAGAGGCCGGCCAATCAGCGCCCGGCTGAGGCGCCGCCAGACGGGCGGCAGCCCAGATCGGCCGGTCACCTGCTGCCCGGTCTGCCGGCTCCCTCAGCCAGGCTGTACGAGAACTCGACGGGCCGGTCGGTCGTCTCCTGCCACTCGGGCAGCCAGCACTCGGCGCCAGGCCGAGTGGAAGAGGAGCCCTACTATCCCGCCCCGGTGTCCGGCTACTCTCCGCCGCGTGCTCTCTCCCGGATCCAGCTGGATCCCGAGGAGAACAGTCGCGGCGATCAGCGACGACGCCACCACTCTGCCGGAGGCGGCACCGGCAGTCTGGTCACGTATTACGAGCACCGCATCTCGTACACTGGAACGCCGTCGAGGAGCACCGACGTGGTCATCGATCGCAGCCAAATGGTCACCGCTTCGCAGCGCCGCCGCCAGCGCCAGCGTCGCCGCCAGCGGCGCAGCCGAAAGCCCAGAGAGCCGGGCCGCGCTGGCCGACGCAGCTCCAGCGGAGAGCCGACCGACGACGCCACGGACACCGACGGCAACACAACCGAGGACGAGGGCGCCTGGGAAGTGGACATCAAGCATATCAGCTACGATCCCGAAGTGGGCAATGTGGTCGACAACTCGGGGCCCATTTATATGTTTGTCGCCCATCAGATCGTGCCACAGAAGCGTAACTATCTCGGCCTGGTCTACAGCAGCAGCGAAGGGGACAGCGAGGAGGACAACGACAACGACAGCGAAGAGGACATCGCGATGAATGCTGGGCGTGCATTTCAGAACGGCTTTCTTGGGCGTCAAGACCATGCTGGCGGCGAGGCAGCCAGCCAGAGTGATGAGGAACTGAGCGATGGCAGCGGTGGTTTCGTTCGACTCGATAAGATGGACACTGGCGAGAGACGGAATCTCGGCGAGTTCCAGGAGACCACTAGATTCCGCGCACAGCCTCTGGATGAGGACACCACTCAGCTGCGCCGATTGAGAAGAACGAAGCTCTATGAAATGTAGGGGCCTCAAAACTTACGGTTTCTAACCAAGCCTGCATTTACTCCTGACGAACTGTTTACGATCTTACAATCCATCAATTGCGACGCTGGCA